TTTATATATATATATATATATATATATATATATATATATATATATATATATATATATATATTTGTTTGTTTTGTTTTGTTTTCCCCCATATATATTGCCATCATTTACAGCACTAAATTGTTTCGTACACTATTTCACCCATAAATTAAATATTAAACGTAAATTAAATTAAAAGGGTGCAACTTCTTTTCAGCTATGTAATGCAACACAATTCTTGAAAAATTCAGACCAACTTGCCATTCAAGTATGGCTAAAACATACTCGTTTTTTTTTGTTTTTTTTATGAGACACTCCTATTTGTAAAAGAAACAGACCATTTTGTAAACAAAACATTCTTACATAAATTATTGCAGTAAATTAAGTCAGTTGGAAATATATATATATATATATATATATATATATATATATATATATATATATATATATATATATATCACATCTATCTGCATCTGCATTAAAATGGCAGATGGGAGACAGAAGGTAGTTCGATAACAGATTTAACTTTTTAAAACAGATTACCATAATGAAAATGATCACAAACTTTGTTTTATGAAACTCTGAGATACTATAGTCTTAAATTATCTTTGGGATTATGCAGGGATATCTGATGAAATGCACTTTGAAATGCATCAAGTTCCTGCGAATATATATATCACATCTATTAACAGAGAGAGTAATTATCAGTTTATTCCCATGCCTTCCACAGGAGCTTGAGTTTCTCCGTGTTGCTAAGAAGGAGAAGCTCCGTGAAGCAACCGAGGCGAAGAGGAGCCTGCGCAAGGAAATTGAGCGTCTGCGTGCTGAAAGCGAGAGGAAAATGAGAGAGGCCAACGAGTCACGCATACGGCTGAAGAGAGAGCTGGAGCAGGCCAGACAGCTACGAGTGTGTGACAAGGGCTGTGAGGCCGGCCGTCTGCGAGCCAAGTACTCTGCACAGGTAAGTTCAAACACATTCATACATTCACTGCTACCAAGATAAGCATTTAAAGATCTGGGCTAGTAACCAAAAAGTCGTGGTTTAAAAGTATGATTCAGAACTATTATGCCTTTGAGCAAGACACTAAACCACAGATTGTTCCCAGAGTGACTGTCCCTGTGCTATAAATGTCCTAGAAGTGGCTTAGGACAAACAAGTGTCTGTTTAATGAAGAGTAATCTAAGGAATGCTTGGATTGATGTAACATGACACCCCACCCACACACTTTCAGATGAACTCTCAGACTGGGTGTGGCCTCGCAAGTCTGATGAGATACGTTTCATTTCTCAGAAGGAAACAGAGTAACTTCCTGTTAGAGTTGTGTGATTCAGACTAAACAAGAGAGAGACATCACTAAGATGTTTGCCTGGCTGTGTTTGTGTATTTGTATGTCAGTGTTTAACTACAATCATGCTAACTTTTTGAAAAAGTTGTTAGCTACACTACAAGCTACTAGCAGAACTTAACTACATTGATGCTATTTAGATCTAAAACTATCAATATCAGATGATATAAGTTATATATAAAAAATAATACATTTTAAAATATATATAACTAATAATAAAATGCAGGATCTTCTGCAAAGGAACTAATTATTACAATAAATCTATTAAAAATGTTAATTAACATAAATCTTAAAATATATGTAAATATTAGATGAAAAACTATATAAGCAAAAGTGCAAAGATTACTAAAACTAATGCTTAAATAAAAAAAAAGCTAAATTAAAATATAATTAAACGATATATATTTATACATTTTTGTATTACTTGTATTCTATATATATATATATATATATATATATATTGGCATTTTATAAATATATACATATAATACAAAAAAATGGTATAATTCACTAATATGAATCTTTTCAATGATGGAATTCATATTAAAATACAGTGTAAGCTACATGTGGAATACAGTGTAACTAAAGACAGCGCTGTAGCATTTTGTCAAACTACATGATTTGCTGCTAATTTGTGGCCACTTTATTCATTTTTTATCATCTTTAAATGGTATATTTTCAGATTGAAGACCTGCAAGTAAAGTTGCAACATGCCGAGGCAGACCGAGAGCAGCTGAGAGCCGATCTGATGCAAGAGCGGGAGGCAAGGGAGCACCTGGAGAGAGTGGTCAAGGAGCTACAGGAACAGCTGTGGCCCAAAAGCCCCAGCAAGAACGGCACACCACCCCCACCCGCCAAAGACTCCAATTAATCCTATATCTCTTGACTCCACCCAATCCACATCAACACCGCCCTGATTGACAGCATCAACCGCCCAATCATGTCAACTAGCATGCGGGTGAGCCCCGCCCACCTGCCTCTTAGCCAGCGCAAACCCAGAGGTATCCTGAACGTTTTTTGATGGACTTCAGACACATTTTCGAAAAAGTTTTACTTCGAGAGCACTGAAATGCACCTCGCCTCCAACAAGATGTAAAAAAAAGAAAAAAGCTAAAGTTCAATCGGAAAGGAAGAAGCCAATAGCACAAAAGCTAACTGTGCCTGAAACTGAATACATTTTGAAATGAAGACTTTTCTATGACAAACAAATTGGTGATAATGACGCAAAATTTTACCCAGCAATTTTTAAGCATGCTGTCCGCCCCGCGTTGTTATCGAAGAGACAAGGACTCATCATCATCCCATCAGAAATTCCTGTTTCCTTTTCCTCTCTCTTTCGTTTTGAGGAACTAAGATGCAAATCACTTTGTAATAAGCTATTTAAGAGACTTGTTAGTGAGCGTGGATGAGATAAAAAAAAAACTTCAGCGACTTATCAGAGCCTCAAATTTCCCCCCTTTTACATGTACATACATGTCATGCTGGTTAAAAGAAGCCATGGAGACAAATGGTTACACACACTTCTATCTTTAACAATGGTAAAGAGATACTGGTCAGGAGAGCGTTGAAGGGCTTTGGAGAGCTAGAGGTGGAGAAGCTCAGCCCTGTTGAAAGGGAGAGATATTTGTATTCAAGTAAGTGTTATGATCAAGCCAGAGCACTTTCTTTTAATGGCAAACAAATGCTCCCCTCACAAGCTGTCGTGTGATACGCCACGAGTGCGTTCGAGGGTCAAAACCTGTCGGCGGATCTTAAGATCGTGGTCAGTGTGGAATCGGAGGTTTGTGGCTCCTGCTCTCTGTGAGGGTTTGGGTTTTCTTCTCATCACACACGTGTACAGCTTCTCCGTGGGCTGAGGTGCTGACAACCGGCCCGGCTCACAAACGTGGGCGGCCATTTTTGGGAATAAACTAAAAGCATAAAAAATACAGCTTCTAGGGCAGGAGGTGTCATGTGATCAAGAACCACAAATTGTTTGTTTTAAGTAAATTATAATATGTAAATATGAAAATGTTTCTTTTTTTTCTTTTCGCTTTGTTTTTTTTTTTTACTTTACAATAATGAATCGCACTTTGTCATTACAAAATACTGTCTAAATGCATTACGCTCCCACACTCTCCCAAACATTTATCTCAGAGTTTTTAGTATTCCGAAGTATAAAATTGAAATAAACATTTTGTTAATTATATGCAGTTCTAATAAATGCAATGTAATCATGTTTAAGACAAACTATTGTAAATAAAACCGCAAGAATAAAAAAAAAAAGGTTCTACATGCTTGCTTGCTGAAATGTGGACGGCGCACGCAGCCGTTCCCTCAATCTGACTTTAATTCAACATTTATCATAGTTATCGATATATGATTATAATCGTTGCTAAAGTGTTATTGTTACTGTCCTGGATTCCCACAGGTTTTGAACGGTTCCGAATCCAATTTAAAACTGTTCAGAATGAATAGGACACACAAAATTGTCATGCATTGGTAAAAGTCTAAATATCAATGCAGGTGCTCCTCTCGGCTGTGAGCAAGAGCATATTATGGTGTACAAAACGAGACGAGGATAGATAAACGAACGAAAAAAAGTTTAGATGGTTTAATAAATGCATCTTTAAATGCTCACACACTTAGCTGAGATAGGTTTTGTTGAAAATACATATATTTTATAAGTGATTTATATACATTGGGTACAATGCAATCAGAATGTATGTTACGTTTTGGCTCTTTTCATTTTGTTGTTGTTGTTATAATGGATGTTTTTTCAGATTGTGTGAATATTTTATTGCTTATGTTCCTTCTTTCAATAGCAAGCTTATGTAATTTTTTTTCATATGCATGGAATTTAAAAGAAAAAGATTAAGTCTGCCATTCATATATTCATTATTGGGCATTAAAACTGTATATGTACGTTTTTTATTGTGTTATGCAATATAAAGCAATTTTAATCTTGTTTTTAACTACAAAGGAAAACAAAACCCTCTTAACAATAAATTTCAGCTCTTAACAATCTTAAACGCAACATTAACGGCACTACTCTTGGGCTAAATACAAACCTTATGTGCATATGCAATGCTGGAGACCCTCAAGTGCCTGTCTTTGGGCCCTTGGGGTTCCAGAAGAGGAACAATTATCGAGCCCGTTTCCACAGTGGCTGACTGTAAGGCGCATTGAACTGCTTCAGACAGCGGTCAGACGGTGAGAGCGGGACGTCCCATTTGCACTGTCATTTGGGGGAGCCTCTTTGGCTTGCCCCATTTTGCCAGAATGAACTTGACTATCATTGCTTAAGAGCAAGCCGCAGCTTATTTGATAGGTTTTAATGCCAGTTTGTCAGTATTCCTTTGTTGTTGTTTTTTCTTCTTCTTCAAAAATTGATGAATAATTAAATAAAAGAAAAATGCATAGCAGAGTTTAATGCTCCAATTGCCACTGGTAAAGAACAATTTAAATCTTATAGTAAGATAAGCTTTTAAATGTATGTCGGAATAAATAAACTCTTTTCTTTCTCAGTTTTTAAGGAATAAAACATATATTTGAGAGGTTACTTTTGCTATAGATGTAAAAAGAGCCTTTGAAACGATATGAAACATTGCCCTGACCTGTACATTGCAGGCTACGGGGAAGATACTAAACGGGGGTCTAAAAAAAGCTCAGTGTCTTAACAGTAGCAAGAGGCTGTGCGTTTTTACAGACCAAAAAAATGAATAAAAAAAATAAAAATCTTTCCAATGAGGTTTTGTAGTCGTTTTTACACGCAAATGGATACGTGTAGTTTACTTTGTTCGCGGTTTTCTATGAAAAAGGGAGAAATTGATCATAGAGGCTCCTTTGCTCCCAATATAATACTAAAAATGTGGATTTTTTTCTAAAAGAGCCATTTTTTTGCTAACAAAAAAAGATCTAAAATAGCAATAACGACATAACATCACTGATAAATGAGCAGGATTAGCCAGTCTGATGATGAAAGTACAAATTCACCAATGTATATAGCTGTTTTCTTTTCATTTTACAAAAATTGTATCATAAATGTATATTGTGTTTCTTTCTCTTTTTTTCAGAATGAGAAAAAAACCTTACATAATAGTTGTTATATTTTATGTTGTGTTTTTAAAAACAAAAAGAAAGCAATGTTTTCAAAACTATTATTTCAAAAGTTGTATTCCCAATGCAAGCATATTCAGTCCTTTATTCTGCTTTTTACCCTTTTTTTGTGCTACAAAGAATAATAGTATGTTCAGTAAAGTCTTTATGGTAAATGCCTTTTTTTCTGTTATCAATGTTTTCTTACGTTCAGCTAAATATCACACACATCAGTTCTGGTTGAATCAGACATTCAGATTCTTATTTTAACAATCCGTTCTCCTTTTTTCATGCCGATATATCTTCTTAGCCCTTCACTGCTGCTATAACAATATACTATAAACTTTGCAACTCTTGAAATTATTTTTATGTAAGAGATTAATGTATGCTTTCTTCTTCTACTGATGCCGCTTATACACTTGGATCTGGCCAATTTCTCCCTCTTAGACATCCCCTTTCCCCCTCACATGGACTATAATGTAAGATAGAGAGCTCTATGAGATTAGAGTTGAAAGTAGTTCGGCTTATATACTGCAGTGTCAGGATGTACAGTGTATAGACCCATAATCAAAAATAAAGTTGTTTGTCCAGAAATCTTTTGTTCTGTTTGTTATTTCGGTCTCGGTGGAACAGCATCTTTATTTCTTTTCCTTTGAAATAACTAACCTTTTCACTGCACCTTCACTTACAAGTGTCTCTAGACATACCTTAATTGAATGCTATAAAATCAGGAGAAACATTCTTTCTGCTGCATGCAATGTTTTGATCCTTCAAAGATTTGTTTACCTGTTCCCATTTTTTTCTTCTGTCTTGTTGCTCCTGCTTTACAGGTGAAATGAAGATCTAAGGTAGCGCTCTTGTCATTGACTGTAAGAGTGGCTCACATAAGCCAATGAATCAGATCTATGAAGCTTGCTGATTAATAATTCAGGAAGCACCTTTGTAGTACATTGTCTACCTTTAAGATGAGCTACTACAGCTGAATAGAGAAATAGAAAATTCCTTTCCTTTTATCTAAATGTAGAAAAAAATCACTAAAGCTTTTATATATATATATATATACAGACTTTTCATATTCGAATGTTCAAAATATGCTAATTATACATACTTATGCATAATTAATCCTTAATATGAGATGATTTTGAATGAAAATATTGCAGAAAATCTTTTTAAGAAAAACATTTTGATTGATCGTCATCAATAATGATGATTATGATGATGATGGTGATGCACTAAAAAAATGCTAGAAAAATTAAGTAGAAAAACTGAAATAGTATATTCTTGTAAAAAATGCTCCAAAATATTTAATTTACAACTTTGAAAAATATTTTTTCACTGTGTGATAACGTTTTTTATTATTATTATTATTATTGTGTTCCTATTCAAATGTAACACATAAACTGTGACCAATTAGTTAATATATCATTAATATGTTTAATATAATGAAATCATTTTCCATGAAAATAGTTGTAAAATATTGCAGAAAATTAACATTTTTAATTAAGCTAAAATAATTTATGGCCATAAAACAGACACACAAGAATTATTACTAGAAGAACAAAAACAGTAAACTGAAAGCAAAATGGTGTAGAAACAATTTTCACTCAGAAATTTCACAAACAATTAGGAAATTGTATAGAACACATTGAATTGAACAAGACATTTTAAAGTAGAAAAACTGAAATAGTATTTTCTTGTAAAACATACTCCAATTATTTTCAATTTACAACTTAAAAAATAATTGTAAAAAGTTAAAAAAATAATTATAATAAAAATAATTAGTAACGTTTAATTTGGTTTAAGTTATATAGCTAATACGGTTTGTCTTAAACTTTAATTAAACCCTTTTTACGCACACCATGACCAGATGGATGTTTCTTGGAGTGAAATACTGTGCTGTCGGACAGCTGGGAGAAGTGCTCCGTTTTGAACATGCCATTGAACAGTGATGGCATTATTGAATCAGCGGCCCTCGAGGGATGAGCATCAGTCAATTCCAGTTGACCATGTGTGTGACTGCTTGTCTGGCCTGACAGACTCGATTCTGATGAAGACTCAGTGATGTTATGGGAAATGTAGTTCTTTTAATCTCCCAGGGGAATGACTACAAACATGAAGTTATATTATTGGTTCTTCTTCTGTCTGTCTGGATGTTCCTGGGCCAAAAGACAGGTACCGTAGCAACCACATAGCAACACCCTAGCAACTGCCCTGGGTATCCTAGCAACCGCAGAGCAACACCTTAGCAACCACCCCAGGTACGTTAGCAACCGCATAGCAACACCCTAGCAACCATCCCGGGTATTCTAGCAGCTGCATTTCTATCTATCTATCTATCTATCTATCTATCTATCTATCTATCTATCTATTCAAGATGAATGACAAACATAACCACATATGAAAACAAATAGTGCGCTGTATTTGTTTTACACACAGCTTTGCCTCTTAACATCTGTTGTCTTTTCCAATTAAAAGCCTAAAAATTACATGCCCATTTTTTTATTAATAATTGTTTCAACTGGTCTGTACAAAAGGCCTTATACTGCCAAATATTCGCCACTCCTAAATTTATAAAGCATTGTGATGTGGTTGGCATTGGGTTTGAGCTTTGAATTATACCTGTGTGTGCGGTGGTCTGGTCACAGCTGCTCTACAGACTGATGCTTTAATAGTTGTTGTTCACCAGCCCACTTTAATAATTTAGCCAGCCGGAAAATTATGGGGCATAAATCCCAGGTGTTCTCTGGTGGTTCCATCACAAGCACCAAGCGTGGACAGACAGCACCCATCAACCAGCTCCTGTTCCTCCTGCTGTGATTGGTCTCTATAGGGAGAGATGGAAATTCTTTCCAAATGCAAGTCAAAAAGGGTTATTTCTACTTTTCAGTAGGTCTACAATTTCGTATTTATAATTAAATAAATGTCATAAAAAAT